TATTTCTAACGGATCCATTGTAATTTTTATTTAGTACTTTTTATCACCACTTTAGTACTAATTTGTAATAGTAAAAGCTATATACAAAGTTGCCAATATCTATCTCTATCGGTTCTGTTGCAATACGATATTCATAACTTTTTAGTACATTTTAGTACTAATTTCCAAAACATAATTTTGCCCATCGTTCTATTTGTAATAGCTTCAGTTAAATACCATGTTTCAAATATCGACCCGTACCTGTTCCATTGCAATATAATATTTAATACTTTTTAGTACCTTAAGTACTAATTTCCAAAATTTGTTCACACATTCCCATTCGCCTATCATTGACAAAGCTGCATACAAAATTTCAGAGTTCTGCTTCCAAATGTTCTGGTGTAATATAGTTCTAGTACTTTTTAGTACTAATTTTCAAAACATATTTTTGCACAACATTCTATTTGTAATAGCTTAAGCTACATATAAATTTTCAGATAAGTATCTCTACTGGTTTCATTGAAATATAATATGTAGTACGTTTTAGTACCTCTTAGTACTAAATACCAATTTTTTCACACATGCCCATTGGATTGTTATTGACAAAGCTTAATACCAAATTTCAGAATTCTACTACCAACCGTTCCGACGTAATACAGTTTTAGTACTTTTTAGTACTAATTTCCAAAAAATATTTTTGCTAGTCGTTCTTGTTTTAGAATCATAAGCTACATACAAAGTTTCAGATATGTATATCTTCCGATTACATTCAAATATAATATTTCGAACTTTTTAGTACTAAATTCCAAAATATTCATTTCACATATACGACTTCGCTTATCGTAGGTAAAGCTGCATACAAAATTTCAGAGTTCTTCATCTAACCGTTCCCGCGTAATACAGTTTTTAGTACCCTTTATTACGAATTTCCAAAAACCCCGCCTTATCACACGCCTCCTCACAAAACCCAACCTACATGCCAAATTTCATGTTTCTAGCTTTAGCCGTTTCGTCTGGGCGTTGATGATCAGGCAGTCACTTATAACAACACTTATATATATATATATATCAGGATCAGGATATAAGAAAGTTTTTTCTTATAAGCGTACATACGAATATAAGAAATCTTTACATACAATTTTATGGAATTTATTTTTCATATAATTTAAAATTGATAAGTGAGTTCCACATTAAAAAGGGTTGCCAACATTAAATTCTTCTGTAATTATGCTTTAATTGAAGATATAAGAAACAAAACTTTAAAATATATAAAATTTTAAAAATCTGCTTATCAAATTGAACACTTGGAAAATTCTTCATTTGCAGTGGGTGTACGATTTTGCATACTGTAGATCATAGCATAACTATTCAAGGTAGTCTCATTTGAGAAATGGATAATGGCAACCCTTTTTAATATGTAACTTATACATCAATTTCAAATAAAATAAAAAAATTAATTCTATAAAAATTTAAGTATGTCGATTGACAAATTTTCAACAAATTAAAAATTCATATTTTCTAAGGCTGCTAGGCTAAGGTTATCAAGATGTAAATATGGGCGCTACAACATGCATTTTTGATTTTCAGAGGCAGGGAACTTTAAAATATTAATAATTTATAATTATTTATATAATTTTGCAATTTTTGCCACTGAACAAATTATGTGTGTACATTTCAAAGGAAGGCATTTTCATTTAAATTTTGAAAGCTAAATGTTGTCAAAAGTAAATTTATGAAAAAATTGGAAACCTTTGGCTGCATGAGACTACCTTGTATAATTATGCCATGACTGTAGATGAAATCGGAATTGGACTATACCTCCATAGAGAAGTTTAACCCGGCAAAGAGCTCTAATGTAAATGCCGTTTTAATCCTTTATATGACTCCCCTTTTACTCGATTGTATGGTACTCAAAAAGTGATAATACATAAATGCAAACTTTGAATTTTTAATGAAAAGCGACATCTCCATGTTTTTCGACAAGCTATTCGCCAAAAATGCATTTTGTCAAGGCTTTGAATTTTTTATGTCTATACTAGCATAAACCCGCTACTTCGTTAGCGAATGTGGGAAGTATTTAAAACCCAATACCAAGCATTATTAACACTTTTGGAACCATTTAGTACCTATGTTCTATTATAGTACCACAACTACCTCCATATCTGAACCCTACACACCAAATATGACCGCAAAAGAAATTTAGCTCTATACAAAATTTGTTGTCATTTTTTACCCTAACGTGTAAAATTTTCAAATTTCAAATATAGCTTCACCCAAATCCAAAAGAAGTACCAGTTAGTAAACATTAATATAAATTGAAATAATTTCCAATAGAAATCATGCAATCCAATGGAAATCTTATTAATCAATTTCAGGATTCCAGCTATATTGGTAAACTTTTAATCCAAATTGTACCAAATAGCTCAATTCTACACCAACAATGATCCTAACTCCAAATGTAAAGCTTCCAGCTCTATCTGTTCACCCAAATCCAAATTTGGTACCATATAGTACACATTAGTACGAATTTTAAAAGTTCTCTACTGACTCCAAATTGCATTGTTCCAGCTCTATCGGTTCACCCAAATCCAAATTGTACCAATTATATTAGGATTTAGTACTTTTCGTACACATAAGTAAACAATTCCAAAACTACGTATATATCTCAATCCTACTCTTCGACGTTAATGTTTATTTAAATTTTCAGGATTCCAACTCGATTTGTACCTCAAAATTAAATTTGTACTAAATATAGTAACATGGAGTACACCCTTTCAAAACCATCTCCTTAAATAGACCCTACATCTCAACCCTAATTAGCATTCGAACGTCCAAAAAACGCTTTGCTATGTATATTCTACACTCCATCAGAGAACCTCATTTAATCAGTGAACCTAGCCAAATACAAATGGTTTTACATTTAGTATTTTTAGTACTTTTCGTACCGTTCTAGTACGAATTTCCAAAATCCAAAAAGTGACCCTCACCCAAAATTTCAAGATTCTAGCTTCAGCCGTTTCGTGTGGGCGTTGATGAATCGTTAAATCAGTCAGTCAGTCAATCACTTTACTCTTTTATTAGTATATCTATCAATATATAAAAACCAGTAAAGAAAGTAGTAAAGTCGGACGGGGCCGACTATATGATACCCTTCACCACTATGGTTATATTAAACAGGACCATTAACATGAAATTGGATGAACTAAAATATGTAATACTTATCTAAATGTGAATCGACTTATTTATTAATAAATTATACAATACAAAACGTTGTTATAATTTGTTCAAAAAGGGGGAGGAAGCAGCTTATAGGGCTCTTAATATACACATTTGTTTTTGTACTTGATGAACCGATTTCTTGACACTTGTCACAGGTTAGGTTATACAAATTTCAGTACGTTTTGTTCCTATCAGCCATATATTAGTTCCTTGGTGCGCCAATTCGATCGATAATATATAAGGGAGCTATATCTAAATCTGGACAAATTTTCACGAAACTCGACAAACATCACTCTAGGCTCAATTCAGTACGCCGTGCCAAATTTCGTGCAAATCGAAAGATATATAGCCACTTTGGTGCACCATTTACCTTAAATCGGACGAAAATATATATGGGAGCTATATCTAAATCTGAACCGATTTTTCCCAATTTCAATATGGTTCGTCCTTGGGCCAAATAAATGAGCTGTGCCAAATTTCAACCAATTCGAATCAAAACTCCGACCTGTACTTTGTTTACAATTTAACATGGACAGACGGACGAACGGACATGCATAAATCGACTCAGAAAGTGATTCTATGCATATTCTAAAAAGGATCAATGGGTCTATCTCGATTATTTTTGCCTGTTACAAACATATGCACAAAGACATAATACCCTGTACCACAGTGTGGTGAAGGGTATAATGAATTGCTGTTCGTTATTCTCGCTAAAACTTAAAATGTTCGTGGAGCTTCAGGGAAGATTTAAAAGTTGAGAAAAAATCGAGAACCGCGAACATTTTACGAAGGAATATTATGAAGCATATTTGCATTTCCACGAAATTAGTATCGAGCTATTATGATTGCACCACGTCGTAGTTGTTATTTTGAGATATTTTAGGCGAAAATTGGTAGCGTATCATTTCTTAAAGCCTTCATTTGTCAATTATTGAAAATTTTGAAAATATTTTTTCTTCAATTGGATTGACATTGTATTTGTGAGAATTCAAAAAATAATTGAGAAGTATAATAATTGAGAAGAATAATTTTAGTAGGATTCATTCTACCAAATAACAACCAAATGCCAAATTACAGCCGATTCGATTTAAAAACGTGTCCAAATCCCCACGGCATCAAAAAGTTTGGGGTACTGTTAGATGGGGGGATATTAGGAAGCTATGGCGAATATAAAATTACAGCCAAATACCGAATATTAAGGGATACCGTTATATGGGAGCTATCCGAATACTTGGGTCAATATTGATATTATTAATTAGGGAGATTTTCTGCTCGATAAGTATTCCTAATATTAACATTTTCAATATCAAATTTCAAAGTTGTATTTTAAATCGCTAACGTTATATGGAAGTCTTTTAAATATATTGGGAAAAATTGAATTATAACCGAAGGTCGAACTTATATGTGTATTTAAATTTATTTTCCACGAATTCAATAATTCTTAACCTTATATCAACCGAAACTTTAGATGACAAAAATAGCAACATGACTCGCTCAATAACATCAAATATTTAGATATATATATATATATATATATATATATAATATATTTATATTTAGATATTCAGTACTGTAATGTTACTTTAATACGAAGGTATTACAAAAATCTGTACAATCCACCTTATGGTGGAGGGCATAAAAACAAACGTAAAATTCCGAAAATTATACAACAACAATATTGCTAGGCAAGACAACGTTTGCCGGGCCCGCTAGTATATATATATAACATATGTGCTATTTCGTATTTAGATTTTCTATAAAATATCAATACATGTAATATAATTTGCAATATTTATTTTTAGGTTGCAGCCCGTTTCTGTGAAGGCGGGCACATTTGTTCCTTACCAAGAGAATGCTGTACACAAGGTTGTTGCCCGCCGTATCAAAGTGGGCCTCGTCAACTGCCACCGCCATCGGAACACGTGCTGAACCTCTTTTTCATTAGTCATTGGTTCTTCTGGTGAGTACAATCTTGGTACAATGACAAGAAGTAGGATAATGGTACCTGCTAATTACAATTTTTTTCTTTTGTGTGCCCTGTTCTGTTAAAATAGTAACTCAATTTTTATTTGTGTATGTAATGTCTTGAACAAAAGAAAAAAAAAACTAAAATATTTTCAAATTCAGATGTAATTAAAAATTAACATTAATGCAGTGTTGGGCAAAAATTAATTGAAGTGTGTCCGAGCGTAACAGAAATTGACCATTAAAAACGACTGACGTAAAGAGAAAAAAGAGAACATATGTTTACCCATCGACCCTTGGTTACGGTAGCGTATATGGGTAAGCAAGCCTGCATTAAAGCATTCGAGAGCAATGCCCTGTTCTGACGGGCATTCGAACAACGTAGTTCGCTCTCAGAATTACGTACATGAATTAACCCGTTTATACAACACTATTCATGTCATTAGAGTTTTTTTTCTTTGATTTTTAACAACGTTACCTATAATTCGACGGGACGTACAAAAAAATTAAACTTCCCCACTTTTGCAAAATGTTGTGTACGGCCGTATTACCCAAATACGTCGAATCCATATCTTCAAGTGAATAATACCAACCGCCAAACAAAATTGAAAATTTATTAACTTAATCCAAATATTTTATGTTCACATTCGAAATTTCATTTTTTCTGAACGTTTTGTTTTTATTTCCAACAAAAGAAAAAAACAAAATATACGTTCTGTCAAAGTTGAAATTGTTCAACTTGAAATTTTTTACGCTCGACGTATTTCGGTAACATTCATATAAATATATGTTTTCTACTTCTGTGGTGAAAAACGTCGAACGAGCTAGTTGAATTTTAGGTAGGGCTGTAACTTTTTGTTTCTTGTTTTACACCAAAATTCTAACATATTTGCATGAATAACATATGGATCTAAATAGAAAAAATAATTCTCTTTCTGACTATAGTATGAACCCATATCCATTTACTTTTAATTCATGTTTTCCATTTTTTCTGAAAATATTGTTGTTTTTATACATTTTTATATTTTCTAAATTCAAATGTCACATATAAAAATTTGGAGAATTTTTTGTTTGAGTTTCCCCAAATTTGTTTCTTGTTTTGTATCAAGGGGAAAGAAATTCATATTACATTATGTAGACAATTTTTTACTTTTCATTCATCATTTTCAATTTTACTAAGAAAGTTTGAAAATTTTATAAATATTTTCAAGCTGTCAAAATTAATTTATTTTCAATAAATGCTCTCAATTGTTAGGGATGGGACACATTTCTTGGTTATTCAGAGAGTGATTCGAATTGAACAATGTACAAAAGTCGGTGTTCGCTCAGAAAATTTTGTATGGGGAACTAAGTAATTACTTCATAATTAAGGGTCGAACAACGAATGAGAGAGCGAACAACGCTCGTCTGTACATGGCATAAGATCTTTCAATGTTTTTCGAAGGACTATTAAAATTATATTTGTGAAAATCAAATCATTTTTCGCGATATTTTCCTTATTTAATAAAATTGTAAAAAAAAACAAAACAACCTGTTGAATATATAAATATGGCATAATAAGACATGACACTAGACTACAGTTGTTGTTAATTCCGTAAGCCTAGCTCTTGTCATTGTCCCATGAGTACAATCTTGTCTGTGATTAATTGTGTATGTTTACTCGATATTTCGAGACAATTGTTACCAAATGTTACTGGTTGATGTTCGTTTACTTCAAAGTCCAGTAAAAGAGAGCGACAAGAGAGAACTAGTTTGACAGTTCTACGCTGAGAACTTACTGAATGTTACTGGGTAAATTTCATCTGGTTAGATTTATCCAGCGCAATTCGATGTATTTCAATCTGCCGATATTTTAAATGTTGACCAAAGTCAAAAAACATTTTTATTTCATTCCTTAATAATCCTAAATAGTCAATTTTTTTTTCGTACGTTCCCACGCCTCTCTTTCCCACCCCTGCCGACCGAGGGGGCAACCTCCCCTTTCGTAGGGATCGCGTCCACACTATAATCCGCATTATGATGGAATATGAGAAGGGATAGAAAACCAGCTACAGAAATCTACTTCAACAGCCAGTTTGTTATTAAGTTGTATTATTCATTTAAAAATATAATTATATTAGATTTTATTAGTTCTATATTCATCCAAAAGTCCACGTTAGAATACACAGAATTGAAATCAATACACATTTTACTAAGTGGATCTCCCATAGAATAATTTGTGCGATGAAAATCTACGTATAATGGTTGATAATATCTACTTAATCGAAAAGGAACATTTATTCTAATGGATGAAATTAGGAAGTCTGAGGGTATATTACCTTTTAGAATTTTAATTACCATTATAGTGTTCAACATAATACGTCTACTTTTTAATGTAGGCAATCGAATTAATTTTAACCTGCTAGTGTAAGAAGGCAACACAAAGTCACTATTCCAATGTAAACCTCTCAGTGCAAAAATTAGAAATTGTTTATGCACTGATTCAATTTTATCGGAATATATTGTATATTGGGGATCCCATACAACAGAGCCATATTCTAATATGGGTCGCACAATAGATGTAAAAAGTTGTTTTGTAATGTAGGGATCAGAGAATTCTTTAGCCCATAGTTTTATAAATCCTAAGACACCGTGGGCATTGTTTACCATAGAAATGACATGATTATTAAAATTTAGTTTTGGATCCATTAAAATACCATGATCAACAAATGAATCTACAGTTGATAAAACAGTACCATTAATATTGTATTGCCTTGTTAAAGTAGAAGATCTGGAAAAACACATATGCTTACATTTGTTTAGGTTTAAATTCATACAGTTTAATTCGCACAATTGAAAAAGGCTATTTAAATCATTTTGAAGTAAATCATCTTGCTTCATGGAGTTATGGGTGATAAACAACTTGACATCGTCAGCATACATTAGCAATTTGGAGTGGATCATTGCATTTGGTAAATCATTTTTGAAAAGAAGAAAGAGGAGTGGCTTCCTTGGGGAACACCGGAGGAACATTAATGGATTTGGAGAGACAATCATCAAACAAAACTACCTGTGATCTATTTCGCAAATAAGATGATATCCATTTAAATAAATTTATACAGAAACCAATTTGATTTAATTTATATATTAAAAGTTCATGGTTAACCCTGTCAAAAGTTTTACTGAAGTCAGTGTAAATTGTATCTGTTTGATTACGCTGAATAAAACCTTTTATGACGGTTGAGGAGAATTGAATAAGATTGGTAATGCTTGAGAGGCCACTACGAAAACCCTGTTGATATGGACTTAAGATTGGCAGAACTTTATGAGAAATTACATCAGTAATCAGTTTTTCGAATAATTTTGGAATTGCACTTAATTTAGCAATTCCTCTATAATTCGAGACATTAGTTAAGCTACCAGATTAGTGTAAAGGAACTATATAGGATTTCTTCCAGAAGATGGTTAAGCTACCAGATTTGTGTAAAGGAACTATATAGGATTTCTTCCAAAAGGTAGGAAAATTACTATATTTCAGGGAATAATTACGTGATATTTTGCAAAATCTTACTGGATGTTGTCTGTTTACTTTTCTCAGTATTATTTCAAACGAGAATGAAAACAACTTACTCTCTGAAATAGAACTTACTGAGTAAATTAGTCTTGTGTCGTTCGTAAACGACCTATTTCAATTGAACGAGTCAGTCACTGAACGAGTGAACGACATAGTTCAATGTTTATTATTGTCGTTCACTGAACGATTTTGTTTACCAAACGTCATCGGTCACTGAACGCCACAGAATTTTATTCTACACCTCCAGTGTCGTTCAGGAGTGCTCTGGCTTTGACCAAAAGAAAGGCGTTAAATAAGGTCAAAATTCTTTGCGGTTGATGGAACTGGCAGCTTAAATGTAATACCAAATTAACTGAGCAACCATTTGAACGATATAAGACAACTGAACGAGGTGAACGATCTAGTTCAATTTAAAAAAAAAAAGACTTAATTCGTTCGATTACTGTACTGAACGAGATTGCCCAAGACTAGAGTAAATGTTACTGCAAAAGTAAGCAGACACAACTATTGTCATCATATTCATTCAGAATAACTCATTTCCCCATAGCGGATTTTTTCGCATTCGAACGAAATCAAAAAAAAAAACTGCGAGGTGTTCTTCAGAATAACTAAAGGGAAGAGTGAAGAAATCTACGGGGAATTGATGTGCAGAACAGAGCTATTTTAATTTTCTTTGATAGCTAAGTCCCAATTAAGATTAGCCGAGTTTACTTGCGGCAAGTCTTTGTTTGTAGGGGCAAGAGAGAGGGGCAAGGGGAATAGAAATGGAAAAAAAATTGCACATACCGGTAATTTTCTGGCAATTCGTTTTGGGTATTTCGTATTTGTTGACATTTTATATTTATTTAAATGTGAAGAAAGCTATTTAACAAATAAAAAAGAAATCTTTTTGAAACCGAATTGCCTTGTATAGACGCATTCAAAAGAGAACGATAAGAATTGCCTAATCTAAATCAGGACTAATACATTTTTTTACTGATAGAAGCCCCATTATTAGAGCGTTTCAAAACTGACGATTCAATGGTGTCTTTAGATCTAAAATATTCCTTAATTTGGTTTAATTATCCATAGTTGTCGTCGGCAACTACAAAGAATTTCATTAAATATATATGGAATGTTACTGGAACCACTGACTGATTCTCAAGGGTTCTGATTTACAGTAACTAATATTCGACTACTTTTTTAAATTTTAAATAGAAACCTTCAATTAAAAATGAACAATGAGCGTTTGCCAATTTATGACTGAACTAATGATTATTCCATTTAATTCCAAATATTTAAAACTTCCACGGAATATATGGCTTTCCTTATGAACAAAATGAGATATTGTTCTTTGAAACTTATTAGCCTTTGGATTTTTTATTTACAATTCAGTGTAGGTATGTTATTTTGAATTGATTGCATTTCTTTGTATGGCATATTTACTTACAATGACTTTTTTTCAAATATTCTTATAAATTCTCATAAATAAAAAATTTGCAAAAAAGTCATAACCCTAACGTACATATGTTGTGTTGTGTGTATTCACCCTAATATACATGTTTGTTTTCATTTTGTCTCCAGCGAACATCTCAAGGAGTTACAAACAAAATTACAAAATGAATATGTCCACAATCTTTCTTAGAGGGTACTTTCAAAAACAACAATTGTATGTTTAAATATGTGTAACTCGGCCTCATACGAACAGAAAAGTACTATGGCAAGTATATACATATGTATACGTACGTAATTCGTTACATACATCTGTGTGTATTAAACTGGTTTCAACACCCAGAATATAAAACTGCACACAAGAACGTGAAATTAAACACTCACCAATCAAATATTGGTCAACATAAATATTTTACTTTTGTTTTTGCAAAATAGTCAGGCTGAATCCCAGTTTGTTTTTTTTTATAAAAAACAACTATTTATTAGTGGGGAATGTATGGCATTGCCCGTCGAGGGGTAAGGCAGGGAAGACTATAGTTTCGGATCTCGCCTGTGATCCTCGTCAGTTCCTTTCGTTTCTTGTTGGGATATTCTCCCCAGAAGCTATTTATTGTTTCTTTACAAAAAACCTTTCATACCCAAATGTCTCTTGTGACAATTCGAAGTTCTTACGTTACCAGCGATACGACCTCAATGAGAAGTTCGTTTCGTTTCGCGCCCGATATTTTACGCATTTCAATTCTATTTGGCCGGTTTTCACATAAAGTACGTTTAGATTACGAAATACTCTCGATCTCAATTCCATAGCGTATACGTCACCTTAATTATGTTCACAAATCCAGTGGATTATTTTTAACGTGTTTGTGGATCGGATTTTGCAAGATTATCAAATAAAATTGTTGTGTTTTTTAATTATGAAACAAACAAAAAATTGATTTCGTCGTTGGATAAAAGTTTGTTATGTTTTCTAGTTGAATGACTTTTTCGACCAGCAAAAAATGTTTGACATTAAACTTAATATAATATAAACATGTGTTTTACTCTTTTTATCCGAATCATTTAAAATATTTTCAATATATGCCATTAGCAAACAAAATTTCAAAATACAATTGCAAGTAATAAAATATACTACAGAAACATGGTATAATTATTACAAGGTAGGGCACAACTACCAACTGATTACAATTTTTTCTCAAGGTGGCTTGTTAAATCAAATCAAAATACATATTTTGTGTATGTGTGTGTATTGTTTTGAATACAAAGTCAAATAAATTCAAAATAAATTGAAATATATTCAAGTTTAATTGAAACGAAAATGGAGTTTTCAACACATGAAACAAACATTTTATGGTATTCCCTATTGGATTTTGGGAAGAAATGTCAAACAAACACAAACACTTGTTGCGTATATTTATTTTATTTATTCACCTCAAGCTGCCCTACCTTGTATTATTTTACCATGCTACAGAAATTGATTTTGATGACATGGCATAATTATGGAAGGTAGTCTCATTTGAGAACATGATAATGGCAACCCTTTTTAAGTTGTAACTTACCAAACAAATTCAAATGAAATGAAATATAAAACTCCTTGTACATTAGAACTTTTTACCGGGTTAACCTACTTTATGAGGATTTATTTGACATATATGCAAAGGAAATGACAATTGAAACCCACTGGGTTAACGAAATCCGGTTAAATGTAAACGTACTGTAAGTTCCATACAATTTTATGTATTACGATTGACATATTTTCAAAAAAATTAACAAACAATTATTTTCTAACGCTGAACATTGTTCCCAGGAATTAACTATGGATGTTACAACTTATATTTAAAAGTTTTAAAGGCTTGGATCTTCCAAAAATTAAAAAATATAAATTATTAAGCAATTTATGCCACAGAACACACCCTGTGTGTACATTTTGAAAACTGAATTGGTCTGTTCGCGTAATGCAAGAATATACTATTTTTTACTACGATAATACTTTTTTCCTTTATGACAAAATGTTGTCGAAAAAATTGGAAACATATGACTTGTATAATTATGCCATCGATACTGAAATACGAGGTTGCAAAAAAGTCATAACCATAATGAGCACACATCCATTAACCACATTTTTTTATTTCTTAAATATTAGTGTCAAAGTTAATTTCGGAATACTTATTAAGGATTGAGTTGGAAAATGTAATTGTGAAAATTGTGCCATATGTTCGCCATTTTGGTACATTTAGTCCCCTAAATATTAACCAATCATCTTATTCGGCAGGACACATAGAGTGACCAATTCAGTTTGGTGTTTTTAAATTAAAACTATTGGGGCGTGGGAGCGAAAAAAAAAATAAAAACGTCGTTAAGTTTGTCCAGTTTGAACTTTTAATACCTTCCACCATGAGGTGGACATTTAAAATCGTTCGGAATTTCCATAAGTGGCGCACTATCCCATGGTCAATTTTTGTAACAATTTATAAATTATATATTGCTAGCTCTATCATGATTTCAACAGTCTGGCCAAGGTAGTCTCATTTGAGAGTTTGATGTGGCAACCCTTTTTAATTTGGATCTCATCCAAGAACTATTAATAAGGTCACTCAGGTAGCAATCGAAATCGGAAATCAGCTGTTTTTTCTCAAGTCTAATGGTCTCCCTGGGTGACCTTATCTATAGGCCTTGATCTCATCTGTCAATTTGAAATAATATGAAAAATACATTCCATAACATTTTATGTATGTATGTCGATTGGCATATTTTCAATAAATTCAACAATATATATATATATATATAAGTTATAGATGCAGGGAACTTCAAAAATATTTATAAATATAAATGATTTAGCAATTTTTGCCACCGCACACATTATATGCGTACATTTCGAAGGAAGATATTTTCATTTAAATTTTGAAAGCTAAATACTGTCAAAGGCACATTTATGAAAAAATTGGAAACATGACTGCATGAGACTACCTTGTATAATTATGCCTTGCAGACTGCATAAACCGACATTGAATTTTATTCCGATCAAGGTGTATTTAATAAGGTGTAAGTGACAATCATATGGTTTCAAACTTTTTTCTTTTTGTTTGTAAAGTAAATTGTCAAACACATTTTTCGACGTTACATTTTCATTTCAGTTTAAAATATTGTTTTTAGCTTTCAAATACTCATTCATAATTATTAAAAATGCGAATGTGTGTAATTTGTAAAAATAAAGGAATTTGTGGGAAAATACTACATGGTTCACCAAAGAGTCTATGTTGTTCGATTTTCACGAAATAATACTTAATCTTGAGTTGAAATCCGTTCATCTAAATGATGCACCAAAAATCCAAAGTTTGTCTGATGGCGACGAATTTGTGCACAACATTAACATATGTCTATATAGTCGGCCCGTCCGTGTTTTCCACACTGGTTTTCTTATGAATACTAACTAATTACATTGATATTGTGTTACGTAGGTCTATAGCAAACAAAGTCCAATTGACCACCCAACTTATCTTTTCTTTCCGAGAGATTTCGAATAATATTTAACGCGTATGATTGTTCTTAACACAAATATCTCAGGAACACAAGGACTATTTGTGATAACATTTTGGAAATGATCCGCGACCGGACTGGAAAATTGATTTGTACAAGCAAATTTCGCACCGACAGAACTTGTATGGTTAATATCTCAGAATCACATAGATTATTTGTGAGAAAAAGTTCAAAAATGTCCGCAACCGCGCCTTAAAATTTGTAAATTTAAAATTATGTAAATTGATTTGTAAATCAATAATCGTATCGGCCAGAACAGCAAATTTATTCTCGTTCTTTCGAAAAATAGTTTTATTTAATTCTTCAACATTCGTTATTATTATTAATTTGTTTTTGTTTCTTCATGTCAATAACTAATTGTCAGCATGACAATTTAATTTCTATAACAATAATGTTGTTTTTGTAAAATGTTAGTTGTTGTAGCTGATGCATACACCTTATTAAATACACCTTGATTCTGATCAAGAATATATTCGTTATGGGGACTCCGGTGAATAGTTCAATCTGTTGCAAACGGAAAATACACTTCACCTTTTGGTGGAGGGTAAAAGAATACAGAAAATATAGGAAATCGTCCGGCAGAGTACAAAACATGTGCTCATAACATCGAAATATCAGCGGACTAAAATATCATTTGGAGTTCCATGGAACGTGGAATATATAGATATATAACCAAAAACGTACATGAAATGCATGAAATGCAAAAATCGAGTGGAGGATATTATAAATATTGAATAATATTTCGTTTTTAGCCACCATTTTAATGCTGTTAGAATAATTTAATCGTTTTTAAGATGACATGTATTTGTAAAATGAAAGAAATCAATAAAAGAATGTTCGTAAAATATAAATTCCCAATGGAAATTAATATTGATTGTGTTCTACAATAATGTTTATAGAATACCATTTGAATTGATCGTTCTTTTTTGCTGTGGTTTTTGGCAATTCTGACTTTTGAACCCACGCCAATGTACATACATCATCCGTTGGGTTGCCTTCCATGGGTAATTGGAATGAATGTTTTCTTGTCAAGCATTTAGTTTAGGCTGAAATTTGGACGAGTACAGACGACCATCCATCCGTCCATCGTAAGCCTGTCGTGCTGTGATGGGATTTATAATTGAACATCAGAAATTCGATGGAGAACAGTAAAAAACGTTCCTTTGCAGATAGCTGCTTGATTGTTTTTTATTAGATTTTAATTATTTATGCATGAACCCACATACATAACTACATTGATGCATAAATACGAAAACAAACACAAACATGCATGCATACATCCATAGGCATGCAAGACGAATGCTTCGTTTCTAATTCATTGCATTTATAATTGCAGGTGTGTTGTGGTAGCAATTATTTTAGCCATCCTCTGTGCCTATTCTCTGTGGAAGAAACGTCGAACACTTTGCGGCTGGGGTTTCAACGAACATCATGCACAATCTGAAGGAGATTCTGCTGGCTCGTGTTACGCTCCCCCGCAGTACAGCCGCTGTAATTCGTTCCATCATCCCCCGCCACCCTATACCGAGGTAAGTGCTCATAAATAGTCAAGGTGTTGCTGGAAGACAAACAAATGCTCGTTACTCGCATGCCATCATGAATGCACCACAATTCAAAGGACCAGATCAAGTGTAGCCATTAGCAAGGAAATTATTCATTCGTAACAACAAAATAACTGAATAACATTTTTCCAAACGAGTGTTGGAATATTGGAGGTGGTTGTTTTAACAACTCTCCTTGATATTGTCAAGTGGCGACGGTAGTCGATTTTGATGCACAAAAAAAGACATGAAATTCGATTTGCTGTTAAAATCTTAATTCTTATATTGGACCGAGATCTGGAATGAACCTTTGTTCTCATATGCATTGACACGCATTCGACCAATCGATTAGTAGCGTTGTAATTACGAACAATACGAAAGTTGAATGGTAAAAGTTGCAAAGTTTGGTCCTGTTTTTTTTACGGAGAAAACATAGTGTAACCCCTTCTTAGGGAATATCAGAATGCGATTTTAACCTGTATATACCGAGGATGCAAAATGCAGTACAACTATTATTTTTAAGTCACTGTGTTAACCATACGTTAAAATTTTTAATCAGAATGCTAAGTACAGACGGCCAACTTAACTTGGAATCGTGTCTCTGTTTTTACTTCATTTAGTTTTGCTTTTACAAAACATTTACATTGTACTGGTTTTACTCGTCGGTCGTAAGAATATACAAGTATATGCTAGGATTTTTTTGAATAACAGACATACCTAAAATTCAACTAGCTTGTTCGACGTTTTTCACCACAAAAGTAGAACACATGTATTTATATGAATGTTACCGAAAAACGTCGAACGCACAAAATGTCATTTTTATTAATTTCAATTTCAATATGCAATGTAGACAGAACAACAACAATTCAATATAATTTTTAATGATTATACAAGTACTTACTTACTTAGCTGACTTGGGACAGAACGTTTGTTCCAAAAGCCGAGCTTTTAAATGCTTTTTGAGCTGGGGCGTTCTCATTCATTCTCACAACATGACCTAGTCGACGAATTCGCTCCGGCTCGATACGTCTGATATTGCCGATGTCCGAGAATAGCTGGTACAGCTCATGGTTTATTCGACGGCGATATTCACCGTCGACGCAGATCGACCCATAGATCTTCCGGAGAATTTTTCTCTCAAACACTCCAAGAGCTGCCTTATCTGCTTGCCAGGTACCCATGTTTCAGATCCATATAACAGCTCGGGTAGTATCGGCGTCTTGTAGACTGTGAGTTTGGTCTGGCGAGAGGTGACCCTGCTTTTGAGTTGCTTACCCAGACCATAATAGCATTATAGTGGTATATAAAATCGTTCACTACCTCGAAGCTGTAGTTGTACTGGACGTCTTGCTTCTCGCCATGTACTGCCAGGCCCGTTTTGGCAGACTCCTTCTCAATTTTATCAAAGGTGGATGTTACCGCTTGCAAAGTTCGACCCATTATGTCGATGTCATCGGCATAGGCGTGTAACACGTGCTGTTTGGTGTACAAAGTGTCGCACGACAAACTGTCACCTTGTCTGAATCCTCGTTCGGTATTGAAGGGCTCTGAAAGGTCCTTTCCAACTTTAACTGTTGACCTTGTGCCAGTTAAAGATATCCTGCATAGCCGTATTTATTTTGCAGGAATGCTAAACGTAGACATAGCTTTAAACACCTCTAAGCGGATTAGGTGTCGAATGCGGCTTTGTAGTCGACGATTAGGTGGAATGTTTCGATGTATTTTGGAATGGAATGTTTCAATGTAAAATGTCATTAACCCATGGCTTCAGTCGTTCACACGGCGCGCTGGATAGCAGTAGACTTATTCCTCTATAGTTGGCACATATCGTCTTGTCCTTTGCTTATGTTCTCTCCATGATGCTGTGTACTAATCAGTTGGTACATGCTCCTGATCAGCGTCTGTCCACTGGTCTTGAGTAGTATGGACCTTCAGAGCCCTTGAATAGATAGCCTATCGGCACCTGCTGCTTTATTATTCTTCAGCCGATTAATTGATATTCTGACCTCATCTTGGCTAGGTGGTATACAATCTATACCGTTATGTCTTATTGGTTCTGGGGTATATTCTTCACCGTTATTATTTGATACCAGAAGCTTCCTTCTGGCTGTATGTGTCACCAGGTTTGCTTCGTCATCTCTACAGGAGGATGTGCCCGCACCAATGCCTTCGGTTTCGTGTTTAACTCGTTGGTAACATTTTCGGACTTCATTCTGACTCCTGTACATCTCTCCTTTTCTCACGATAATTTTCTCTTGTATTGCGTGTTGCTAATGTTTGCAGGGCTGCCCTATACGCTGCGTATCATTAGCACACTCCTGATCTACCATTGGTTTCTTGATGGTGGTCTTTCTTGATTCTTTGCCATCTTTATTATTATCCGGACAAGGAGCGCTTTGGTCAAGCAGGTGGGTAAGATGAGAGGAGGAGCTTCTTCTCTCTGTTGTGTTTGCAGCTTTCAACGTCGAGTTTCCGTATTGCATTAGATCACACTTTGTTGCTACATTAAGACGGTTGCGTGCCTTGGCTGCCACAAGGTAATCGTCCGAATTGATATTCATGCCGTCCGTCTACAACAACATGGTCAATTTGATTTCATGGAGGCTGAATTTTCCGACGGTGGGGTCAAAAATATTTTCCCTTCCGATTTTTGTATTAAAATCGCCCAGCAGAATTTTAATGTCATGGCCAGGGCAGCGGTCATGTGCTGTTTCTAGGCGCTCGCAAAAAATTTATTTGGTCTGTTCATGGTTCAGCATGACAGCATGGATGTAGAAGTACTTCGCTTTAATACGGATTATAGCAATTCGCTTATCTACTGGAGTGAATCTGAATACGAGGTATTTTATTATACAAGTACAGTTAACGACAAATACGTTATATCGCGAAAATTCGCTATATTGAAAAGGCTAATTCGCATTGAAAATGCGTTTGACTGTAGTTTATTCTTGCCAGCAACATTCAATGCATTAACATAAACCATTTATCAAAGATATACATACATACAGCTGCGAAAAGTAAAATAGCATCACCCTTTCAAGCAATACTTAGAAAAGCGTATCAACTTTTTTTAAGTTGTTCATTTGGCGGTCGTTTGACATATTCTCGAGAACCTTTTTCCCCATACAGCACAATCTTACTTTCATCTGTCCCTAAAACATTCCTGTATGTTACTATTTACAAGTTTTGTATGTATTTTCATTTTAGGTGACATCAAAACCAGATCTCTACCCGTTGGTGTTCACCTGCAATAGTGATAATGGTAAAAATGGTTCCAGCTATCTAATGGTGCAATATTTTCGCAATTACATAGTGCGACCGGCTGGTTCACTGTCGGCAGCCAGCACAGTGGATTCGCTTAGCTCTAGTTTTATATGCAACATAAATGAAGCAAATACGCTTGTGCCGCCACCGTATTCGAGGGCAGCCAGTCCGGAAATCGGTTTCAGTTCGCACTTTCAACAGCAGTACATGTTGCCGCGTTCAGCATCGCAGCTGGTGTGTCAGAATGTCAGCAACGGCAATTTCATGGCGGCCACCAGTAATGGCGCCACAAATGCACCAAGTGGGAATGGCCAATTCGAGTTGAACAATAGCCCGCAAATGTACAGTGGTCGTTCCTCTAGCACCCACTACGCAACGGTCACAGTTAATGCAACCATGAATCGAATAACCAATAGCACAACTGGCTCCACCGGTGACCGCAGTCGGGAGAGAGTCACTAATTTTAATGGAAATCAGCACGATTTCGAAAACACCGTATCCTATGATGATGCGGCTGAAAACGACGAACGCACAAACGATAATATTAATGCCAATGTGATAAATTGTAGTAGTAGTAATGACATACGGGCCCTGCCCAACAGCAGTGGATTCGCTCAGTCACAGAGTGATCAACACTTCCGGTACATAACGAACAGCAACAGCAGCATTAGTGATATTTTTGTAAACAATAGTTGTGCGGCAGGAATTGGTGGAGGCGGAGGTTCCAGTCGAGTAAACAGATCCGAAAACTCATCCACTGTGGGTTCGGTATCGGGAGCCGGCGCCATAGTTCACCCTCAGACAGGCGGAACGCCAGTTATATATAGCAATGGGTGTATTAAGCCTATACCGCTGCATCGAGCCAGCACCAATCCCAATCAATTTCACGTCGAGGCGTCATCGAATAGGGAAACGGTCCTGTATCAATCCAATAATTCAATAGGTGGTATTTCAATAACAGTTCCTACTGGAATCGAAGATTCGTCACTTCTTTGTAATGACAACGAAATTAGAGACTTGCAGCTCCTACGACGGAGCTTGGAAACCTGCTGTCAACTGCTGCAACAACAACAAAAACTTCCGCCGAGTGACTCTCCGTTGCGAATGAATGACTTGACCAAGAAGTACATCGATGAGGGGCTGTTGCGCAGTTATGTGACCTCTGGGACGTGTTCTGGCGTAAGTAGCCTGGCCAATATAGGAACACCGAGTTCGCCGCCTCAAGCTACCAGCCCCACGGGGGAAGTGAAGGAGATTCTCGACCAAATTCGGCAACTTCAAGAAGGCGTTACAAAATACGAGGAGGATTTGGCTTTCCGGACGGTAGGTCGACCAATTCTACACCACACTTTGTCTTCACCGGCACCATCGGCAAAAATAAATGATGCATCATCTGCCAATATCGGAGGGAAGCTTCAACGCATCTCAACTATGCCCGAACAACAATCATTGGCCGAAGCTGCCAAGGTTAACGTCTTAGTTAAGTCATCAGTGGCAAATAACTCGCCCACTAACTCATTAACCTCTGCACCATCAACGTCATCTGTTTTGATGGGGTCACAGCAACCCAATAAACCCGCGATTAGCAAATCGTCTCTAAATTGCAATGCCAACGCGGCAACTACGTGCAGTAGTTTTATATTTTCATCGGCATCGAAACGACCCTCAACGCTGCAGCATAGCAAAAAACGCTTCTACACATCGAAACCGCCCAATAAGGCCATGTACATTCCAATGATGGCCACGAACCAGATACCATCTGGTAGTCGTTGTACCATCCTAAAGAGTCCCGTTACCAGCGTAGTTAATTCGAATTTCTTTACGAATAGAGGCAACCGGCAACGCAAAGGTTGGATTTCACGATCTGCCCCAACAACACCGGCAACACCGTTACCTCCCAGCTACATGGATGACGACAGTCCACTCTTAAACGAACACGACGAAGATCAAGAGGGCGAACAAAATGCCGAAATGGAAACCTAGTCGTATTTTGTCCGACAAATTTAACGAAAATACGTTTGAATAATAGCACACCTTAAGGTCCAAATCAATCAATAACAACAATAATAACTCTTTTTATGTTAAAAAAATAGTGTAGAAGAAAGGATTTAAGTTCTCTCCACGTGCATGACAAATATTAAAAGACAAAATATTTAACAACGATTGAAAAGAAAATATATTAAAAATGACATCGTCATAGTAATCGACTATCAGGCTCGAACCTTTTTCAATGCGTTGCGAACTAAAAGACCCACATTCTCACCTTTATAGGGTTTCTTGAACGTGCGTATTACGCAAGTGTGCAAGGACCCAAGGTTTAGGCATTAGGTCATCCCATGGTACAATTATTTGTCAAAAAAGCAATAATACAACTCTACCTTCTCTAATGTCAGAATAAATAAAAACAAATGCAACAAGTCGTTCTGTTCATTGGACATATTTGTAACATTTTACAAAAACGCAAAAATTTAATGGAATGTGAGGTTTTCTTTTCAAAATCGAGGAATATGATTTAAATATTAATTCATTCACAAATCACAAATTTCTTTTTACCTATGTTGTAAAATATGGATTTTAAAATACATTTTTCAAAAACACCACATACAGTTTATAAGTTGGTATAGCCTACCTAGAACAATTGTAGCATGGATCATCCAGTAAGGACATGTGATATCTAATTTTTTTGTTAAAATATATTGGATTCGAAAAATAACCAATTTTTTTAAAAAATTTTCCAAAAATACACAAAATGTTTATAAAATGTGGTGAAAAGGCAATTATTTATTAAAATAAAATCAGTGCTGTGTTGAATCGAATCGAATCGAAATAAATCGAAATTTTTTCAAAGATATTTTCGCCACACCAAAAATTTTTGACAGAAAACGTATATACAGGGTTGTGTACATGATGCAATAATAAGGTGATGTATCACAAAAAAAAACCTTTGTTTTTGTCTCGATTATCTGTCAAATTTTTCCATATAATATTTCAAATGTTTGGCAACACTGCACATCGAATTCATGTAGATATTGTCCACTTTGACAGTTAATCAAGACATCAACTGCGCTAAATGGACTACCTATTCATGGTGCCATGGTTGTGTATTTCCTGTAAGTCGCCATCTGGATGTCCTGATCGAAAATGGCGAGAATGAAAATCTTTTTTATTTACAATTGGTCTGTTCCAGAACTGCAAGAATTAACTAATTTTTACTATTACCCTTATTACGGTTGGCGTAGTCGTGTTAAAAATTTAGCACTGTCGTATTTATACGACAAATCGGTATTATGAAAGGCGTTACAATACGCAAAATCTGTCGGGAAAGATTTTTTTGACGACTGCATAGAAAAAAATATAAAAATGTGTTAAAACTGCATTTTAACAATATTTACTGATTAACTGTTACGTTAGACTTTATTGCATTTCCCAATATTCATAAGAATAACAATTACCAGAAAATTAATCAGAAAACAAACAAAATGACATAGTTTTTCCAATACAATATAAAAAGGGTTCTAAAAGGGAAATTTTTGCTTTCGTTTTGTAACAGAGTAAAACAAAAATCTATTACAAAATTTGGCGTTGTCGTAAATTCTACATAATACCGACCCATGATGCAATAATAAGGTGATGTATCAAAACCAAAACATTTGTTTTTGTCTCGATTATCTGTAAAATTTTTGCATATAATATTTAACATGGTTGGCAACATTGCACATCGAATACAAGTAGAAATTATCCACTTTGACAGTTAATCAAGACATCAGCTGAGCTAAATGGACTACCCATGATTTAATAATAAGGTGATGTATCAAAACATAAACCTTTGTTTTTGTCTCGATTATCTGTCAAAAATTTCCTTATAATATTTCAAATGGTTGGCAACGCTGCACATCGAGTTCAAGTAGAAATTACCCACTTTGACATTTAATCGAGACATCAGCTGCGCTAAATGGACTACCTATTCATTGTGCCATACGACTACCTATTTATTGTGCCATGATACCGACAAAAAACGACAACGCATTCGACTACGCCTACGAGAGCAGCCGTACTACGACTACGCCTAAAACAAAAAAAAAATTGTTATCGTTGTAAACAATTTACATTCAGGCAGGCCGTTTTTGATACTGGCCTTTAATAGAAATATGTCCGATAACTTTTCCAGTAAAAAGTAAAAGTAATTGACAATTGAAACCCACAGGGTTGACGAAATCCGGTTAAATGTAAACGTACTATTAGTTTGCCTAAAACAATCTACAAGCTTATCAATAGAAATATGACAAATTATGTTTATAAAAATGTTTTAACAGGAGTCACATAAAATTCGAAATTGATATTTATTATATGTATGTCCTCCCGTATTTATGTTACGACATTTTCATATATGTTACATATATAACTAATTAGAGGAAATATATTACTGTCTGGTTACTTTTCCAGTAACATTTACCCAGTAAAGTTCAGCTGTTTTGTTATGATTTCCATACAAACAAACCCAGTTTTTCTCAAAATACTTTAATATTTGTAAACTTTATTCTTATACAAATATGTTATTATTTGAGCCAACATTTTTGCTGTTGTAATTAGTTGTATCGGTACAACCTTTTTATTGGATACTGTTCGTTTACTTCTCTCAATTTGCCGTCTTTAGAGTGAAAATATCGTATTTAGTAAATGTTACTGGAAAAGCAAACGAACACAATTAATTATATCTTCTAAAAATTAAGTTCCATACCCAGAAACTGGTCAACTTTAAAAAGTTAAATAGAAGATTCTTGCATGTTTTCGAACAACATAAATGTCTGCTTCATCCTAAAATTAATCATTTTGAATATAAGTATTTTTATTTTCCATTTGTTGATTGATATTGCAAAATTGAATTCGTTGTTAAGGATGTTAATGTTGCGTTTAAACAAAACTTGACCTAAAGCTCAAGTTTTTTAGTTTTGATTTTGAATAAAAAAAATAAATTGTATTACAAATTGCGAAACTATAAACGTTTTGGCAGGAAACGAAAACGTTCGTAAAAGAGTGAATTTTTTCAAAGCTCTTCTACCTTCTTATAGAGATATTGGTCCGCGTGGAGAGAATTTTTGTATAAATGTGGCTATTGTATTGTACAATTTAAATCAATTTTGTAGAGTTTATTTGTAGGCTTACCTTAGTTTTAAAGATTAATAGTTGTATTAGTTTACATATTAAACAAATTTTGAAAAAATAATTATAACGCTAAGGTATGTGATATATTTCTGCTCGTTTTATATTTGCATTTTTGTTATAAAATAGAAATTATTTTATTACAATTTCGTATATATAAATATGCTTATTTAAGTAAATGTGTGAATCACATTCTATAATCACTGAAAAAGGAATTGTTTTTATAACATATATTTCTTCTATTGTTCTTATATTCCGCACCCCATAGCGTAACAATATGTATTATATCGATTTATGGGTAAACTGTGATCGATTAAATCAAAATAATAATCGAAATCAATAGGAAACATGCTAATAATAAGTTCTAACCAAATAATATTTGTTGCAGTTCATGGACCATGTCATCCGTTATATATTCGGGCTATAAAAGAAAACATTGTGAGTCATTCGAAAATGTCAAGGTACATAAGGAATTAATTGTTATCAATTTATTGGATCCAAATATTCATTTTTTTAGCTTTTTGAGTTTTTAAACGTATATTTAGTTTTCCTATTCTGGAGAAAATCCAAAATTTATTTATATGTCGAAGTTTCGAATGGTTCGATTCGCGTGTTAATTGAACTCCGCAATACGGTCGCGGACGCGAATGCTATGACATATATCTATCAATCTATTTATAGGATTCACATTTTTATGTCAAGTTTTATTAATATTTTCTCATGACATAAATATCTGATCATGGCATAAATATACAAGGTAGTCACATCCAGATAATTCACTTTTGACAATATTCGGCTTTTAAAATGAAATGAGAATATCCTCATTCATAATTGTTTCATATGTTAGTGTTGCCTGCATCTATAGTCTATAAACATAAGTTGTAATACTAATAGCTATATCTTGAGAACAATGTGCATCAAGCAAAAAAGGGCTATAATTATTGACCACAAGTTCCAATTAAAATATATGTATGCGTGTCTGTACATAGCATGTATATTAATATGCAACAATTATATCAAGTTTTCCCTAATATAAAATATATAAAAGATTTAGATAATCTACATTTGTAATTAGACAAGTATTACTATAACATACATATTTCACTGATTTCATAAAAATTGTAAATTATTTCGATTTAAGGGGACCCCTCCCATTCTCGGTTTCAAAAAATTGAATTTTGTTTTTTAATTCGTCCCTATAAAATTTCAAGTGAAAATCTCAACAACTTTTGAAGATACATATAGGCAAATTTTTGTGTTAGCTCAAGCGACGGCAAGAACACTTCTCAAATTTTAAACGCGTTTTTCTCGAAACAGGGTTTTTAAAAATGGTGGGCACGATAACTCAAAACTTATTAATCGAATCGTTTTCAAATTTTAACACGTTATTCTGAGCATGCTTAGCTATCGTACGAATGGTAATCGGTCAAGTTCTTCCTTATTTTCTAACTTGGTTTATGGTAAAAAAATAGAAAATTTTCCTAAAATCAAATTTTATAGCTCCACCATTTTATTAATTTTTGCGTCAATAATCCTAATTTATGCCAGAGCCAGACATATACTCTTTCGAATGTCAGTAGTCGGAAATCATGCCCGCCATCGAAAACATGAATATATTTCAATTTAATTTGAATTTGATACACAAAATATGATTTGATAGAACAAGCCACCTTGAGAAAAAATTGTAATCTGTTGGTAGCTATGTCCTGCCTTGTAATAATTATGCCATAAATTTAGCCATTAAATGAAGATAATTCACATTATCAGCCACACAAAAGTAGTTTTATGAAACAAATTTCGTGAACTTCTGAGTTCTTAAGGGGGAGACAATTAAA